GATCTCTATGTCTCTCTCTCTCTCTCTCTCTCTCTACATTGTCTGGTTCACTAATTTTCTCCCTCTTTCCATGCCTCTCCTTCCTCTCATTTATACACATACATGAGAGATATAAATTCAAGTTGGCAGCAGTTTCATCTTACGGCTAGCCGGTGATCAAGTTTGGTGGGTTTGGTGGCAGCCATTATTGACCTCCTTGAAGCTTCTCCAAGCTTCTTTTCCCTTGACTTCTAGCAGCCTTTACCATCCACTTGGTTTCATATGAAGAGGAAGAAAACCATGGAACACCCCTTTCACATGGGGTGACCATCCAATAGCATTTTCATAGGATTTGAAGTATCTATATTAATGTCAAGATCTTCGAAAATCATCTTCAACCAAACTACTTCCTATACAGTTGAGGGGCAAGCAATATACGCTACTTCTATATAATTGATAAAGCTATGCAAGGTTGTTTCTGCTACTCCATGTTGCTATAACATTGTTTATTGAAAATGCATATATCCAAATGTAGATTTGCGCTCGTATAGATCACTATTTGAATCAAAATCATTATAGCCATTTAAGTGTAAATCTAAATCTTACTATCAAAGGACATAAATTATGGTTCCTCTAGGGTGTCCGAGTATCTCTAATGAACAGGTGAGGAATTAAACTAGAATCTACTAAGTCAAATGCATAGCATATATTTTGGTTGTAGCTAGCCCAAGGAAAAAGAGCATGTGCAAACCTATTATAGAGAAGATTGGTTTGAAACTTGCCACATGGAAGAGGAGAATGTTATCTTTCATGGGCCGAGTGACTCTGATTAAGGTAGTTCTTGCAAGCTTACCCATTTACTATTTGTCTATTTTCAAGCTTCCTGAAGGTGTTTCTAAGGCAATTGACAAAATCCAAGGTGCTTTTCCACCTCGTTAAATGGGAGGAGTTATCAATTGACAAAATCCAAGGTGCTTTTCCACCTCGTTAAATGGGAGGAGTTATCAAATGTAAAGATCTTGGAGGATTATGTTAATTAGGGATATAAATGCTTGTCTTTTTATGAAGTGGTGGTGGAGGTATGGAGTGTATGATAATGTTCTATGGAAACTTCAACAACTTCTCAAGGATTTTGAATGACATTGTTGTTGTTTCCTCTCAGTATCATTAGCTTCCTAGTTTCATTATGGATAATTCTGAGATTTTGATTGGGAATGATAGCAGAATTCATTTTTGGGAAGATAGATGGGTGGGTAATATTATTTTAAAAGGAAATTTCCTAAATTATTTAGCCTTATAACTAGGAAAGATGAATCACTTCATCATGTAACGGAAAGAAGAAGTGAATCAGGGCAATGTAGATTGAATTTTAGAAGAAATCTTTTTGCTTGGGAGGTTGAAAAGGTCAACAGATTACTTGATGTAACAAGTACAAATGTGAGAACCCGAATATACAAATCAAATAAATAATTGAGTAATAATTATTTTACAATCTCAAATATTTTGCTTATGAATCTTTAAGTGCAAACTAAATATTATTGGAGGATCTTTTAATTAATTTTAAATCCTAAAATAAATTTATAGTGAAAGTCATTAATTTAGAGGCAAGATTTGTTATTTAAAAATAAAATAAAATAAATAGAGAAGAGGGCATGACTTGAACTCTAGACCACAATTTGATAAATAATGGTCTTACTATTTGAGTTGCTTACAACATATTTAAACATTTTGTATATTATTTATTTATTTGACCTACACATGCTTTAGGTGTACCCAACCACTAGTATTAAATAAAATATACACAAAACCCTACCTTCTTATTTGTTCTTCACAGCAGTCATAAGGGGGAGAGAGAGAGAGAGAGAGATTTGAGAGAAACCTTTGGCAACATTGGTGGTCAACAACTCTAAGGTATTGTCCTATTTTATTATATCTATATATTGTGATGGTTCATATGTGTAATTTGCTTGTTTTGGGGAAGGAATAGGAGAAATGGGTGTGTTGTTTGGGTGCCAAGTCAGTGATTGGTGATGAGAAATAATGGGTGTAATTCTTAATAGGCAAGATTTGTTATTTAAAAATAAAATAAAATAAATAGAGAAGAGGGCATGACTTGAACTTTAGACCACAATTTGATAAATAATGGTCTTACTATTTGAGTTGCTGACAACATATTTAAACATTTTGTATATTATTTATTTATTTGACATACACATGCTTTAGGTGTACCCAACCACTAGTATTAAATAAAATATACACAAAACCCTACCTTCTTATTTGTTCTTCACAACAGTCATAAGGGAGAGAGAGAGAGAGAGATTTGAGAGAAACCTTTGGCAACATTGGTGGTCAACAACTCTAAGGTATTGTCCTATTTTATTATATCTATACATTGTGATGGTTCATATGTGTAATTTGCTTGTTTTGGGGAAGGAATAGGAGAAATGGGTGTGTTGTTTGGGTGCCAAGTCAGTGATTGGTGATGAGAAATAATGGGTGTAATTCTTAATCCAAAAAATTTTGTACAGAACCACAAAGTTTAAAAATCAAGTAACCATATCAAACGAATGAATTTTGAACTGAAATTTTTACAGTCGATTAATTACAAATTGAATTGCATATCTGAATTTTCTCATACCTTTTCGAAGTCAAAATCTATATTAACTGCTGCATTCAAATCTGTCCAGAAAACTAGTTTAAAACAGTAAATTCGGAAGGGTCGTTCTCTTTGGATATAAATCCAAAAATTATCAAATTAGCGTCATTAGAACCAGTTACAAGTCTAGTTTCTTACATTTTTTACCTTACATTGATTGCTCGTGTATACTAAGAGAACCATTAATTTCTTTAAAGTGCTGCAGAAAACAACCTATTTGGGTGTAATTAATTATAAATAATTATTTTGATAAGAAAATTGAGTAAAACCAATTGGGTTTGAAACAGAGGATATATTAGTCGATATTTGGAGGGTTTTGAAATTTTTCAAACAGCGTGGAGTGGGTTTTGTAATTTTCAAAGTTAGCGAATGGATTGGGAAAACTTGTTTAAAACTCTATTTTATCTTAAAGTTATTTTTAGTTAAGTTTCGATCGGAACCCATGTCTTGGGTAATTTTAGACCTTGAAGAACATGAACTTAGGTATTATTTAAGAGTAACGGTGAGTGGCGTTGAGCTATGTTAGTGCGCTTTAGTATGGGATACTTAGTTTATTATTCTCTTTAGTATTTTTAAATTAGTAGTGACGTGTAGTCTTCATACTTAGTTCAGGGCACTAGTTGGACTTTTATTGTTTCGTTTTCAAGTGAGTAGTTACATGCTACATATTTTTATAAATGTTCCCCTACCCTGAACTATTAGAAAATTAAATTGTTGTCTCAGGACTAAACGGTTTTGATAATCTATTATATTATCAATGGAATTAAATTATTTTGGAAACATGTGCAAACTTGGAATACTGTAAACTATTTGTTTTTGGTCTCATGTTTATAATGGTGAACTACCATATTTTGCGAAACTAATTTGTATTGATTATTGGGACCATCTGTATATTTTAGTCCAAGGAAATTATTCCACTATGTGTGGTGACTTTGGCCACTAGAGAACAGATCTGGGTTGGGCCGTGATGACTTAAATGTTCAACGATTGTAAGGAAAAGACCTAGGTTAGGCTAGGTGACCATCAATCGAATCGTCTTAAAGAAAAAGCCCGGGTTGCCACCCCCAGAATGACTTTTAGTTCAGTATTGGATCCAATAGGGCTTATAGCCTTGAGAACTGTATGGCATGTTACTTGTCATTTCTTGGTAGCTAGAAAATTATTGGTGTTCATGTTGTAATCTGTTTTAAGTGAAAAATGTCATTTATCATGTTCTTGAGAGACATGAGTATTTTAACTGTTGAACTGTGGAACCTTCTTTTTTAAACAGATTGTACTGTATGCCAATCTAGTTTTTGTGATACATATCTTATTTTGGAATTGAACCCTGTTTTCAAAAATGTATTTACTATCCATGTTGCTACTCACTGAGCTATCAGCTGACTTAGTTGTTTATCATTTCCAGGTGTTAGAAGGACTTAGAGCGGGCTCATGGATTAGCGGTGACTTCTTTGCATGGACCTCTAGGACATTCATTTATTTTGTTTTAGATTGTTATGTCAAGTTGTGCATATTTATTTTTATTTTAATTTTTTATTAGGGTTCATTTAAGATTATTTTGATATGTGCACTGTTTATATCCCATAAGTTTGGATGGTATTGTTTACGATTGGTTTTGCCATTTATAATTGTGGCATGTCACTAGATTAAGTTTTGGTTATATATTACTAGACTATAGTATAATTATTCAATGTGTTTATCGATTCATGTTTAGGCTTATGTGTGCCTTGGGCTAAGGCTCTCTGGGCCACGGCTGGTCATACTCGGGTTTGGGGTGTGACAATAAATCTAGTAAATCAAAGCAGACAGTCTGCAGTGGAAGGGCTGTATCTCAGGTAAGTTATCTATTTCATCTGTCTATTTGAGAACTACTAATGCTGCATGTACTTTTGGCTTAGTTCATAGATTTGTGTGGAGAAATGTTGTTCCTTTGAAAGTTCAATTTTGTGGATGGTTGGTGTGGAAAGGAAGGCTTCAGACTTCTTCATTCCTGAAATGGATTGGAATTATTAGTACTAATGTTAATTTAGAATGTACTTTTTGTAAGTATGACGAAGAAATTATTGATCACATTATGTTGTATTTAAAGAGAATGAATATCTTTTGTATTGAATGAATGAATTGTTACAAAGTGAAGATATATTTATACACTTCAATGAATCCTAACTATAACTGCCTAACCTTGAATCTAACTACTTAACCAAACTGCAGTTAACATTGAACAGTTAACCTCTAACAAACTAACAACTTATACAGCTATAGATTATTACACACGTGTGACTTTGGCTACAAGTGCAACTGCTGGAGCTTGAGCTGTATCAATTGTAGCTTGAGCTTGAGCTGAAGAGTTTGATAGTTACTGCTGCTACTGTGTGAGTTGTGATAGCTGTGACTTATCATGTTGCTTATCATGCCCCCTCAAGCTCAGTGGACTGGGAAGGACATTGAGCTGGTGCTGAAGATATTGAAATCGAGCCACAGATAAGGGTTTAGTAAACATCAGCAATCTGATCAAAAGAGGGGATATGACAGATATGAAGCTTCTTGGAGGCAACTCTTCACGAACAAAGTGATAATCCACCTCAATGTGTTTAGTACGGGCATGAAAAATATGGTTGTTACTCATAGCTATGGCAGATAAGTTGTCACACCATAGGGTAGGCACAGGAATAGAGATATGAAGTTCAGCAAGCAACATCCCAATCCAACTAAGCTCGGCTAAAGTTTGTGCTAAAGCTCGATATTCAGCCTCAGAAGATGATCTAGACACATTTGGTTGTTTCTTGGCAGACCAAGAGATGAGGTTAGGACCAAGATAGACACAGTAACCAGTGGTGGACCTTCGATCAAGGACATTACCTGCCCAATCTGAGTCTGAGTATGCATTGAGAAGAAGAGGTCCAGGAGAGAAATGAAGACCATAAGATAAGGTCCCTTTAAGATACCTTAGTAACCTTTTGACTGAGGTTAAATGACTAGTCAAGGGTGAGTGCATGAATTGACAAAGATGATTAACCACAAAGGCTAAATCTGGTCTAGTAAGGGTAAGATATTGAAGTGCTCCTACCAAACTTCTGTACAAAGCTGGCTGAGAAAAGGGACAATCATCTGCTGTAGTAAAAGAACTGGAAATGAACTTAGTAGCCATGGAAGAAGAGTAAGATTTGCAGTCACTCATTCCAGCTTTGGCCAACGAATCTGAGGCATATTTTTGCTGAGAAAGGGCATAACCACAAGTAGCTTTGGTGACAGAGATACTCAAGAAATAATTGACAAAGTCAAGCTCCTTCATGGAAAAGGTTGTATACATGTGGGTAATGAGAGAGTTAATATAGAGAGGATCACTTCTTGTGAGAAGATTGTCATCTACTATAGACGTCCCCGAACGTCCCGGGAGGATGAGGTCCCGTTCTGTTCATTTGGGCTCACTACAGTTCGGACTCGAATAATTGTCACGGTTCTAAATCTGAACCAAAGAGTCCAAATCCGACAAATCATTTTGCGAAAACAGAATTTAAAAGAAGTGCCAAACATGAACTGCTTTGCCAGATACAGAGTCGCCACCTAAATGTTTTATTTTGGGAAAATTTAGGAAACCCTGACTCGTTTGCCTAAGGCCACGTGTCCGTCATCACCAAAGTTGCCTCGGCTCGGGAACTTGGGTACGATTGGGGAAGGTCACTTCGTGAGCACCCCCGCTCGCCCGATCAAAGATCGGCCTCTACTAACCATGATATCTAGTTTTGAAAACTTTATGCGTTCTTATTTCGGTTATTAGCCTAGATTTACTATGTGATGCGCACAGCATACAAGTATAGACTGGATCGTCTGAATTGGAACAAAACATTTCATGTTTATTTATTTGAAAATGGTTTGATGGTGCTACCCGCAAGTAGGGTAAGACGTGGATTTGCCACCCTCGGGTGGGCTTAGAAAAACATGATTTTGCCACTATCTAGTGGGCTTAAAACTCACAATCAATGCATTTATTCCAATTCGAATAATCCAACCTTCACTCACAGGCATTCAGGCAGTTATATCACATAAGCATATAGCCTCATGGTAAGCATGCTATCATGGCAATCACTTACACACATGCAAGGATGCTAAAGCATAAACACTTACCGAGTACTCCAAGCTAAAACAGAAGCTAATTAGAAATCCATGCATGATCCTAATTATACGGAAATGCCTAATGCAACACCTGCAAAAATGCAACTATAGTAGGCTCGGCTATTCTAAACATGGCACATGAGATGCAACAGCTAACAAGTATTCAACTTTGAAATTGAAATACTATGCAGTTAGTATGATGTGCCGAACCCGGTGCATGCAAGACAGATGAATGAATGCAAACATGATATCATACTGTATGCTAATCGAAACATGCCCTAATCTAACCATCATAAGCAGGTAAATAAAAGGGAGAAAGACGTGGGGTTGGAAGTCATACATCACACACACGCACACTTATTACAACATTGCCCTCGCGTAGAGGGTCTGAATGAATAATACAGTCCCAAATGAATAAATAATACAGTCCCGAATAAATACAAAATCCTAATTAATTAGCAAATTAATCTAGGAAAGCAGTAAATTGCACGCAAATCCGTGGATTGCCTCAGCTCTGTTCCAAATGATGAATGACGCACGCTCGGGTTGCCTTGTGCAGAGAATCCCTTGCGATGCCCAGTTTGCCTCTGTTTGCAATTATTCTTGGGATACGTGCCAGGCTCCGGAAGGTTACTGATTTTTGATTTGCTGCAACAGAGAGCAACAAAGAGGCATGGCAAAGTATTTTCACATATGTATGCATGACTACCCTTCAGGGAGTGTAGTCCTCGATCCCCGTGCCACCAATCACGTATCTCGGTGCATGATGGCCGAGGAGTCGAATTGCACGACTCAATATGAAATGAATGCACATGAAAACACAACAGGACCTAAACTCCATCATGGGTGATCCAGAGTGTCGGCGATCGGGAATTGTGACACGTTCCGTCACTCGGAATACGAAACGTCCCTCGTTTCCCGTGCTTGGGCTAACTCCTATCCCAAGCACAATGCAATATGCATGACATGCATGAATGCAATCCTAACATGCAACCTAGCATACGCAATGCTATGAAATAGCACATACAATGCACGATGTAACGAGGCATACTCAATGCTCTAACATACAACCTTGTATACGCAATGCTATGAAATGAAATGGCATACACAATGCATAATGGACTTACACTAACATTAGTGGACCTCAGCCATACTCACATCAGTAGCCATGGGGTGAAAATGAGACTCTCGAAATACGTGCACTCATGCACGCAAACCGAGGACCGATCCTAGGCATAACATGCAACTCTAACAAGGCATGGCAAGGCATGGAATATGGCATACAAGCATGTAGATTCCAGAACTGAAATATGATGCAAAATGGTCCCGAATTATGGAAATATGGCACCCGATGCATGAGATGAACCCCGTGACTCGAAACTAGGCACATGGAATGACTTGTAGCTATACAAAGCATGCATTATTTGATCATGAAGCATGAAGACAGAGCCAAGGCAGTCCCAAAACATGGAAATTTTCAATTCAAAGAATGGCCAAAAGATGCTAGCAAGATGGACTAAAATAGCATGCAATTTTGACTAGCAAACATGGTTTACATGGCAAGTATAGGATGCACATGGAATCTCACCAAACCAGAAAAAATCAGTGAATAAAACATGTGAAAATAGGCCCAAATAACCACTGATATGCAACCATGGCATGCAAAAATGATGAGTTACTTTAGAGGGTCATGCAAGGGGTTATTAAGCACATGCAAGATAGACATTTGGCATGGAATAAAAAACTATTAAAATCAAATATGGTAGTCCCAAAACTCACCAAATTGACCCTGGAAAGTGACTCCAAAGCATGCAAGATAGGGTCTCTTTGGAAGGCCAAAATGACCACCAAACAAGTCAAGGTGAGAGGGGGTCACCCCCCTCTGATTTGGAAGCTCAAAAAAGCGTCTTAGCCACTGAAAATCTACTGGATTTCAGTGGCTAGAAGGCCAAACAAATCATGCAACAAGAGCTTAGGTGTAAGGCTCAAAATAAGGGACAATCAAGCATACAAGAAAGCATATGACCTTAAACAAAAATTGACCCTTAAACAAACTTGAAGATGAGATTAAAAAAAGATATTTTTCATTTTATGACAACTCTCAAAAACAAACACAAGTAGGGCTAATCTATCATGCAAAAATGGCCCTAAAAGAGAGAATAGAGACAAGGGACAACAGCTGGCCTCAAACAGTGAAGAAACCTTCAACAAAGTTGAAGAAAGGCTCAAAAAAAGGCACTTTACAGTTTATGTCAAGCTTCGAAAATAATCACAAGTAGGCCTAAAATATCATGCAAGAAAAAGGCCTAAAAGAGGGATAAAGAGACGAGTGATAGCTTCTGGCCTCAAACAGAGGAGAGCCCTTCAACAAAGTTTAAGAGGGGATCAAAACAAGACATTTCACAGTTTATGACCAAGTCCGAAACAACTCACAAATAAGCCTAAAATATCATGCAAAAAAAGGCCTAAAAGAGAGCTTAAACACAAAGGGTGAGGAGGAGATCTCAAAAAAAGAAAGACCCTTAATCAAACATGGAGATGAGCACAAAATATGACTATTTACAGTTCGGGTCGGAGCCCAAAAATGCAAGCAACAAAGGCTAAAATAGCATGTAAGATAGGGCAAGAAAGAGGGAAAATGGGACTCACCCTTGTAGAACCCAGCTTCAGCAGCTTTTGGACCAAGTTTGGGAGTGCTTAGTCTCTGAAAAATAGCCTCAACTTGCTGGAATGGAGTGTGGAGGTGTTGTGCTATGGATTGGTGCAAGAATCTTAGGGTTTTGAGGCTTGGAGTAGAAAGAGAGGGAGAGTTAATGCAAGAGGCTCAAAGCAATTTTTGTAACCCTAAAAAATGGAGCTGGGGGGCTGGTTTTATAGAGGAGAGGAGTGGAGGAAAGGGGGGGGAAAATCAAATTCAAATTTTCCCCCCAAAAGACCCCCCCTCGAATACAGGATCTGGGGGGAAAAGGAGGTCATAGCTGGAAACAACAAGGTGTGAGGGTCATGGCCGGCCAGGTTCAGAGGGTTCAGGTGGCCGGCCGACCACCCCCCATGGCCGGCCGGCCAGGGGTCAAAAGAGTCAATGCAAATTGATGGCCGGCCACCCCAACAAGGTGGCCTCCCATGTGTGCACAACACAAATATGTGGTCAAAACCCAGAAAATGTGAACCAGGAGAGAAAAAAGCCAACTTTTTAGAGGTCTTCAAAAGGGTAAAGGACAATTACTGGCCGGCCTATACATATTGGTGGCCTCCCAGGTGTATACAACACAAATATGGGGTTTAGGGCTAAAGAAAGCGGCCCCAGGGTGGTCAACATTAGCTTTCTAGTGAGGAAAACGGGCGACGGAGAGCGATGAAGAAATAAAACTGGATTTTCAGAACAATTGCTGGCCTCCCACCCTCCTACAAGCTTTTTAACAATGAAAATAAGGTCTCCACCAAAAATGAACCAAAATGGATGCAAAACGGATGTTCGGGGACAGAAACGCGCGGCCTGGGGCCCCGAAAATGGGCTGTTAAGCACCAGAGGTGGCATTCGACCACGAAGTTGGTCCCTCGAGCCACAGTGTCTCCCAAAAGGGAGTAAATAAGATGTATACCAAAAACCGGAGCAGACGGAGGTGGTTAGGCAGTCCCGAACCGAGGCACACGGCCGACAGCTCCGAAAAACCGGAAACCAGGCTCCAAATGGGAAAAATGGCCTACGACCACAAAACATAGCCTACAGCCACCGAGAGATGATCTACGAGACCTCTCTCTTTCTTCCAAAAATGAACCAAAATGGATGCAAAACGGAGGTTCGGGGACAGAAACGCGCGGCCTGGGGCCCCGAAAATGGGCTGTTAAGCACCGGAGGTGGCATTCGACCACGAAGTTGGTCCCTCGAGCCACAGTGTCTCCCAAAAGGGAGTAAATAAGATGTATACCAAAAACCGGAGCAGACGGAGGTGGTTAGGCAGTCCCGAACCGAGGCACACGGCCGACAGCTCCGAAAAACCGGAAACCAGGCTCCAAATGGGAAAAATGGCCTACGACCACAAAACATAGCCTACAGCCACCGAGAGATGATCTACGAGACCTCTCTCTTTCTTCGGGAAGAGAAAATAGAGAAAACAGAGCCTGGTTCGCAAACCGATGCAAGGCATAAAAGAGTCCGGAAGTCCGGAGGCAAGGCTCGCAGCCGAGACTCTGAAACTTCTGAACGAGCACGATATGCAATATCACCGAGCGCTCAACTAGTGACGTCTGAGTCTTAAGGTCGGTCAAAAATGGGGTGTCTACATCTACATAGATGAGACTAATGGTGACAGCAATAGAAGTTTTCTTGATAAAAAGAGAAGAGTCACAATCACTTTGAACAAATTTATGAGTGAGAAGAGAGTTGGAGAAGGTAGAGAACCAAGCTCTAGGAGCTTGCTTTAAACCAAGAGGGCCTTGTGTAATTTGCAAACAAGCTGAGATTGATTAGATTGAACAAAACCTTGAGGTTGGATCATATAAACTTCTTCTTCAAGAACACCATGGGGAAAGGCATTAGATATGTCAAGCTACTTGATTGGCCAATCAAAATGTATTCTGATAGTTGGTTGCTTAGCCATAGGACTAAAAGTCTCATGATAGTCCACCCCTTTAGCTTGAAGAAAGCCCTTGGCAACTAGCCTAGCCTTATATCTACCTATACTACCATCTGAATTCATCTTGATTCTATAAACCCACTTACAGCCTATGGCCTGCTTTCCAGGTGAAAGATCAACCAAAGACCAAGTGCCTTGTTTTATGTAATGCTTGAAATTCTTCAAGCATAACAGATTTCCAAATAGAGGAAGAAGCTGCTTGCTGATAAGTTTGTGGTTCAGACTGATTAGGAGAAGAAGAAAGACAAGCAGTGAGAGAAGAATGATGGATGATGGATTTTGTTTTCCAAACCCATGTTTCCGATGATTGAACCATACAGTATATATATGGAGTTTGTTTTGCTTATTTGCAGAACCATACAGTATGTAGATTACAAAACAAAATGATTGTTCTGCTATTGGTTTTCTTGGAATTTGTTTTCCAAACCCATGTTTTGAAAATATGATTTCCCTAAAGTTTTGTTCTCAAACTATAACTTTAATCATAACAATTGAGACTTCTAAAAAGAGCATAACTTATCGTATCTAAACCAGTTGGAAGGTCTGCAATTGAAGAACCAGCACATTTAGATATTTTCATTGCTTCAATGCTTTTAGTAACAGAACCAACTTCATTCACCTAAAAAACCATAAAAACACTTCACATAAATATGCATGTCTGATATGAACTAAGCATGTCGGATTACAACACTACTTTCTAACATATCATGTCAATTGCACTTTTTTGCCTCAAACCTAATACCATATCAAGACTCAGATCATGTTTCTGCCACTGCTATGCAAAAAGTAGATACAAGGTTTCTTATAATTAATAAATAAAATAAAATGAAATGAAGAAAAAGAATTAAATTCTAAGATCAGCAAATTTATTTTTACTTTTTTAGAGCAGAAATGAATTACGTTTTAAATCACATGATCTACACTATGAAAGAACTATCCAAGTAGAAAAAAGCTAATGGGTTTTTCACAGAGTATTGCCAACAACCAGATAGAAGCGAGGCAAACATGAAAACAATAAAAGGACAGTAAAATGGGTAATTTCTCAGGCCTAAGGCTATTCAACACTCCAAGAAGTAGACCAACAACTCTGTGCTAGTTACATTGCAGAATAAAGGACTCAACCCAACGGGCCATGATCTTTGATGGGTCTGATCATAGGCTTGTTTGATGGGTCTGACCAAGTGATCCAGATTATTCTAGCTAATCGATCCATTAGATACATGGGAAGATGAAGTAAAACTTATAGATGAAGATGGTTCAGCAGAATTAGCCATTAATCAGCTTCCAAAACTCAAGCCCTCCTCTTGAGCCTTATATAATATCAATCAAAATCAACACAAGAAAATTGTGAGTAAATGAGCAGAATCTATAGATCCCCATATGGGAAATTCAAGTACCTAATGATGAAGGTATGGCTCAAACAATTCCTCATGACAATGACCCACAAAGAAATCTTAGAAAATTCAAAACAGTTCTTAATCACAATTAGATTTCCCTAATTCGACAAGGAGAATAACTTTGATATTGAGTGATATGTAGGAGTTGAATTGGAATGCAACTACTCTGCATTTATAGCTACCGGGTGGAACTTTGTACCCATTGTCTTTGATCTTTGAAAATGGAACACATACAGTAAACATATTTTAACAAAGTCCTCCAGTGAGAACCCATCATAAGCATCAGCACTTCAAAGATTGCATTATCATTACACATCGACATAGAACTCAAAAATGTTAATATTCATACATATATCTACGTATATAGACACATAAGAGGGGAACAAATGAGAATTACCAACACTAAACAAATAGTCGATTTAATCAAACTTCTATAAAATCTCTAACTTCTATATAAACAAATAAATAATCACCTACAAAATCAAGGAGGTCTCAAATGCATGCTATATGAAAGCAAGTAAAGCCATTTTGGGAACTTGAATAAACGGTGAGCAACGGTGGTACAAATAATAACCTTGATGTTATAATCATCTCTCTCTGTAATTTGCTACAGGAGCTGCTGGTTTTGAGCTTGCATATCATCATATGCCTGACCAATGGTCTGAAGAGAAACAACTGATAATCTCAGGCCTTATTTAAAATTACATGAAGAGAAACAATACCAATAACCTCAGGCCAACTTCACAAACACATTGAAGACAAAATGATCTCCCATATAACTGAGCAGGAATCTAACCTCTATTTCAGATATGTAGGCTTCATTTTCCTCATGTTTGGATTTATGGATACCTGAAAGCCCGGACTTTTCCCTGAAATAGCATAGATAAAAAAATGTCTTCAAGTTTCTTATAAATAAATAAATATATCATGCCGGAGAGAACAAAAAAAAAAAAAAAACAAAATAAAGGATTGCAATCATGTGTAGCACCCATATAAAATGAACTAAACAATGCCAATGCTCAGCATCCATATGAACTTAAGTTAGTACCAAGAGGGTAATATAGATGAAACAATTGACATATCAAATTGTACCATAAAATAACTGAACAAATCAATTATAGTTCCGCTAAAGAACCATAGACCTAGCACACCTTTGATTGAACTAGCTCAAGAGTGGAAGAATCCACATAGAAATGATGTTATAAAGAATTCACATGCATTTCAAATTTAATTTAATAAAAGCAGATTATGACAGCTGCCTTCTACAAGGCTGTCATAACGACATTTTAAATACGTCATTGAAATATGAAATAAACCTTTTAGAAGCTTCCAATTTCTGTCTCAAGTCAGTAATCTCAGCTTCTGCAGAGGCTAGCCTTTGCTGGGAGATGGCCTCAGCTCCAATTGATGTTTTAACCTGCAATTCCAGAGTTTGCTCATCAAGAGAAGGTTTGAACATGAGCCCACGCCTTGTATTCAAAATCTCTAGCTTCAATGACATCCCTACAATTGCAAAATTGAAATATAAGCAACCTACGTACATGTAGTGAATTCAGAAAACCAACATTGAAAACCTAAGCAAGAATACACCAGGTATGGCGGAGCTAGGATTTTGCTACAGGGGGGAACCATTGAGTTAAAGTCATGGCAAGTTCTATCACAATGTAATAGATTTCGATTTTCAATTGGCAGTAAAACAACTAAAGATGAGCCTGATGTCACAGTCATATGTTTAAAGTTATGCTCAAGTTAATCGATTTTTTTATTTGTTTTGTTGATTTTTCATTATCTCTCTCCCCTCTTTCGCTTCTTTTATTCTCTTCTCTTCATTCAGCAAACACATACACACACTTTTAACTTAATAATTTCTATAATGGAACTTCAATTCCAAAAGCAGCAAAGTGACGGTTTCTCAGGTGCCAAACAGAGTAGCAACACATTCAGAAATAGAGGTGGCAACAACAACACCAACAACAAAAGCAAGTTTGTTGGGGTGAGACAAAGGCCTTCTGGGACATGGTTAGCAGAGATCAAGAGCACAACTCAAAAGCTTAGGTGTTGGAGGGTTGTTGTCTGAACTTAAATCTCTTAATTATAAGGATTTTATCTAGTTTACCAATAAATTATGAAGGAAAACTAAGATCATTAGCGACAAGATACAAATAATCATCATTTATTTTCCTTTCCACCCAAATAAATAAATAAATAAATAAATAAAATAAAATAAATAACACATATGATCATCACTAATGTGCGAAGTTCATAAAATTCATTCTAAAATCCTTAGAATATGACTGCGTTTCAGATTAAAATTAAGGACCACTAATTTGATTTAAAAGTGTCAACACAAAGTGCATTTTAGGTACAAACTTTGAATTGTTAGATGTCCTAAGCTCCTGGTACGAGTAGAAAACAATTCCATTTGTTCTTATTTCTTAACATGAGCTGTTATGTTTCTCAAAGGCTTAGGCAAGTCTGAAAGAGATCTGACACAGCACCGAAAAAAAGAGAAGAAAAATTAAAGAAGAAGAAAAACGAGTAACCAATTAACCATCTTTCACATGAAATTAGATTTGCAAGCAACAATATATACCGAATTAATCGAATGATGAAATTGATTCAAAATCAAATCAAAATCAAAGAGAGATGAGAGATGAAAACCCTAGAAATCAAAACCCTCGAAATCAAGTCAAAATCAAAGAGAGATGAGAGAGGAGAAAATGAATTAATCAAATGGAAACTGAATAAGTTAGAAACTCACAAAGAAAATCAAATCCGTGGAAGGGGCTCAGAGTGTTTCTTGCCAGCGACGATGCTGAAATCGCAGGCGGAGGGCTTTTCGAGGCGATGTTGGTTTGGGTGATGAGTGATAGGCCTCCGAAGACGGTGACCGTAAGAAACACTCTGCCCCTAACAGTATTGAACGCACTCCAGCTCCTTCTCTCTCTCTTATGTGCCTTGTCTTATGTGCCTTGTGATGAACCCTAGCCTTCTACTTTCGTTTTGATTAGAAGTAGCCAAAGAGTTAAATGTATTTTGTATTTATTTTTTGTTAAATTTGTTTTTTTTTTTGGTGTTGGGGGTTTTTTTTTGTAAAAAAAAAAAAAAAAAAAAAAAAAAAAAAAAAAAAAAAAAAAAAAAAAAGTACAAAAAAATAATATTTTTGCTTGTCAATTTTTTTCTGTAAATTGAAGTGCGTCATCAACTTTATCCATAGGCTCTGTCGTGACAAAACATTTTTTTTTTGGGGAACGTGATGCGAAACAGGGTATATATATCATAGTTGTAAATTGCGGTATCGAGTAACGTAATGGTATTGATCACGGAGTATTGGTATCAGTAGTATCGGCCGGTACGAATCGAGAATCGGGTGTCGCGACCGTGAAATTTTAAAAATCATTAGAAATCCCTCTAAAACTAAATTTTGTGAATTTTTTTGACTCTTTTAGCCTTAATTTCTTACATTTTAATCAAAATTTTGATATATAGGAGCATTTTTTACTCATTTTCAACTAAATGATATGTATTTGTTTTAGTCTCAAACTTTTTTTTGACATATGGTAAACTTTTAATAAAAAAATTAATTTGATTATTTATTTTTCTTGTACTGAGAAAAAAAATAAATATATATATATATATATTAATATAAATAGAGGTGTAGGTGTATAAACAAATAAATAGAAGAAAAAAAATCTAAACAATTACAATCTACAAATCAACCATAAACACACGCACCTCCATGTACCTAAGTGCCTCTCCCTTCCTATCCATTTCAATCTCAGACACCCAATGCACCTCTATGTACCTAATTATCTCTCTCTTCTTTTCCATTCCAACCTCAGACACCCAAACCATAATACAAGACTGCAAGACGTTGACCGGAAGCAAGACACCCATACCATACCACCTATCCCCCCCTCTCTCTCTCTCTCTCTCTCTCTCTCTCTCTCTCTCTCTGTGTGTATGTAAAAACGCTGACCGGAAGCTGCAGAATCCGGCCAACCCAGACAAACATTTCAGCTTTAGATCAACAAAAAAAAAAGAAAAAGAAGAAGAAGAAAAAGAGACCAGAAATAGAGCACAACAACATCAACAAAACAGAGCATAACAACAGCACAACAAATCTGTATCGGACTGTATCGTCGCATGCATCGAATTCAGGCCGCTACGTACCGGGATTCGGACGGTACGGCTGTGAATTTCATTCTCACCGGTATACTGGTCAATATCCGAATCGGTGATATGTACCGGCAGATATTTAGAACTATGATATATATATATAATCACACTTATTTAAAAAGTGTGATTAAAATGTAGTAATGTATATATAATCACATTTTAATTAGAATGTGTGATTAAAAAATATATATAAGCGCACTCATTTAAAAAGTGTGATTAAAAAGCAGTAGTGTATATATAATCACACTTTAATTAGAAGGTATAATTAAAAAATATATAAATAATCACACTTTAATTAGAATGTGTGATTAAAAATATATATATAATCACACTTGTTTAAAAAGTGTGATAAAAAGTAGTAGTGAATATATAATCACATTTTAATTAGAAGGTGTGATTAAAAATATATATATAATCACACTTAATTGAAAAGTGGCATAAAAAATAAATATTATCGCACTTAATCAAATTAAGTGTGATTAAAATATCAATCTAATTTTTTTTATCACACTTTCAATAAAAGTGAGATAATTTTTTTGTCAAAGTGTGATCTTTAACTATTTTTGTAGTGGTGGAATTAGATGAGCTAGTCAAAGTGAAAGTAGCATCTTGGATCAAGAATAATTATGCTAGTTTGGATTATAAGTATTCTGTTCATGATCTTGTTTCTAACTTAAATCATGTTGAGTTTTGTCTCAGTAATATTAGATGAAGGTGTGGGTGGGTTTTGGAGTACTGACATTGTTCAAGGCTGCCTCATTTTTTTTATTTGTTTCTAGGACACCTTTTCAGCTAATGTTATTGGTTTCTTATGGTGGTGATTTGTGTCTAATTATAAGGTGGTGAACTGCATGGAATTTTATATATGATGTGTTTATAGGAGCTGATTTAAGTATGCTCCGGTTGTTGTGACTGAGTGCTTTGCCCAGTGCTGGTGATGATGTTTACTGTTGATGCTGGGTATTGCAGTTTGACTTGTTGGACTTTGCATTCTTTGTTGCAATATGACTTGTGAAATTGGACTGTATTCAAAGGCTTAGGGATGATCTTTGTAATGTTGTTTGGGTGTATTTGGTTGGCTTCTCAACAACTTGTAGTTGCTCCTCAGTGCCAACCTTGTTGGGAATGTTTTATCTTTACCATGATGCAGTTTGCACTTACCATTTTTCTCACTTTATTGATATATTATCTTTTTGTATGTTGGTTTTCTATCACTAAAGTTTTATTCTTTTTTGTTGATAAAAAAAATAAATGGCAAAAAATCTAGTCGATCACACATCATATTATACATTAACTTGCTTATTGCACTTTCATATGACGCACGAGACCTCTTTTCGCTTTCATCTTGATTCTTAGGCCATACTGTGGCACAAATTCTTACCTTTTGCGTTAAGAGTATTTGTGAGTTTACAATAATGCATGTGAAAATGTTTGAGAACCTTCTTTATGTAACTTTGTTGGAATAAATCAAGAAGTCTCATTGAACAATCTGTCAGAATTTTAACCTTATGAAATCTCTTGATTTCTCTTTATTTTTAAATTTCAATGTATAAACCTATATTTATGAAATCCTTGTTTCATGAACTTTACTTTGACACCTTATTTGCACGATTTGATTGCAAAAATAGAAAGATAAAATTTAATTTTCGCAAGTTACACATTAGGTATTGACTAATAGTATCGTTTGTAGTTGTGTTTGGTTAGTTAAAAAATTCTTTTAGATTGCATTTTTTAACCGTTTTAACTCTGTAGTTGTTGGACTTCAAATTCAATTCTTTATCTACTAGTAATTTTTTTTTTTTCATAATTTCTAAAAGTTAGAATAATTTTAGTTAATTTTAAAACATGAAATAAACACATATGTAAAGATTATTTGATTTATTAATGCATAAAATTTTAATTTTTAGGAAAAAAGTTTATACAATTTTCTCAACCAAATAGCATACCACTAACTATAACATGTATAAAGAATGATTACAAATTTAATTATAATTACTAACATCAATAAGCGATTTCCTAATTAAATCCACTTAATTTAATGGAATTCAAAATATCAAGACATAGCATGCCCAACGCATTAAAAATATTCAACATGCCATAACAATAATATTCATAATATGTCCTATTAATTTTAAATTAATGGCTATTTTGGGAAGATGGTTATGTGGAGAAGTGGTTTGGAAATACTCTTCTGATCCTGAGGAACGCTCGTGATCCTCTTCCGGTCACCTGAAAAAGAATAAAACACTCCGGCGGGGGTGCCTGAATTAGCACTCCGACGGACAAGTCAGTAACCACACTCAGAAATACTTATATTCTAAGTTAAGCACTACAATTCTCACATACCTCTTTCTGGCTGATGTTCTTCTATTTATATCTTTTCTTCCATAGGCCTCGGGATTAGATCCATTTCCAACTCATATTCGGCACATCTTATAATAGACCGACCCTCACTCGGCCCCTTGCCTAATCGGCTATTTGGCCGAATAGGGTTGGATTTGAACATGCAAGCCAATTGTCGAGTGCTTCGAATCTCGACTCTCCAAGATTCGACTATCAGAAATCTCTACGACTCCCTCTTCTCGGCCCCCACAATTGCCCCCCAAGCACTCCACTAACGACAGTTGGCTGAAATGTTTGGTTTCGGACTTGAAAAGTTAGAGCCGAAATTCGACGGCTGACCTTATTCCAACGCAAATGTCTGTACACACGCTTTCCGGTTATCATTTCAACTTCCCGCCTCTTTGTACATTTCTCTTTATTGCGATTTGAAATTTTGACGTCTTTTCAAAAGCATACATGCTTTTAGACGCCCGTCGCTTGATTGCCTTCCGAACTACCTCTGCAACTTCCTACTCTTCTCTATCTCCTTCACCTCTTGTAAGTTCTCTCTTTCTCTGCTTTGTTTTTCTTTTGGCTTAGCATAATCCTATTGGCTGGGGGAATGGCGAAACATTTAAAAGATCTCCTCTCACCAGATCGAATTTCTGGCTTCCGACGCCATTTTTCCATTCTTAATGATGTTCGGCTGTCATTTGTGGCAGACAGCACCCTCGATATGGAGAGGGTTGATGAGACCACGATCGTCTTCCCTTTTCTATCAATCGCAGAAGGTGGGGTCCGTTTTCCCCTTCACCCTCTCCTTATGCTGTGTTTGGTTAGGGGATTTGGGAAGGGATTTGGAAAGGGAAATGGAAAAGGTAGGTGAAATGTAAATAAAACATGCCTATATTTCACCTAGTTTCACACACATTTTCCCTTTCCCTTTCCAAATTCTTCCCCAAGTCCCCCAACCAAACATAGCATTAGGGTCGTGCTTTGCCATTGGGGGTTAATCCCTTCCCAACCCAACGTCAACTTCTATAGGATCGTGATGGGGATTATCGCACTAAATCGCCGCCTTAGGCTTAACCTTGGCATTCTCGCTATTCGACATCGCTACGCCTTGGCCAAGTCTTCTGGTCGGCACGGGCGTTATTTTCTTAGGGCCAAAGACACCGACCAACAACTAGTGACTATGCTTTCCAGCTCTGGGAAGCGAGTCGATGATGTTATGATCGTCGTCCAAGGAAACTGGGAATTCGGCGAAGGTGAGGATCGCCTTGATCGTATTCCTAGACGGAGGGACGAACTAGGTGGCTGAGTATCTTCTTTTATTTATTTACTTGTTATATTTATTAAACTTTATTTTCGGGACCTCATGGTTTTGCTTTTGTAGGAAACGATTTGAAGAAAGTCTTGATATCGACCGACGACGCCATCCTTTCAAAAATCAAG